AAAACTGTTTCTAAATTGGTCAAACTTGTTTTCATTTTTATTTTTTCAGAAGTTGTTTTTTTTTTTTTTTTTTTTTTTAGACTGAGTTTCGCTCTTGTTACCCAGGCTGGAATGCAATGATGCGATCTCGGCTCACCGCAACCTCCGCCTCCTGGGTTCGGGCAATTCTCCTGCCTCAGCCTCCTGAGTAGCTGGGATTACAGGCACACGCAACCATGCCCAGCTAATTTTTTGTATTTTTAGTAGAGACGGGGTTTCACCATGTTGACCAGGATGGTCTCGATCTCTTGACCTCGTGATCCACCCGCCTCGGCCTCCCAAAGTGCTGGGATTATAGGCTTGAGCCACCGCGCCTGGCCCTTTCAGAAGTTTTAAAATAGAGACAGGGTCTCACTTCGTTGCCCAGGCTAGAGTGCTGCTGCTATTCACAGATGCAATCATAGTTCATTGCAACCTTTAACTCCTGGGCTCAGGCCATTTTCTGCCTGAGCCTTCTGAATAGCTGGCACTATAAGCATGCGCCACCACACCCAGCTTCATTTTTTTTTTTTTGAGACGGAGTTTCGCTCTTGTTACCCAGGCTGGAGTGCAATGGCGTGATCTTGGCTCACTGCAACCTCCGCCTCCTGGGTTCAGGAAATTCTCCTGTCTCAGCCTCCTGAGTAGCTGGGATTACAGGCACATGCCACCATGCCGAGCTAATTTTTTATATTTTTAGTAGAGACGGGGTTTCACCATGTTGGCCTGGATGGTCTCGATCTCTTGACCTCGTGATCCACCCACCTCGGCCTCCCAAAGTGCTGGGATTACAGGCTTGAGCCACCACGCCCGGCCCCAGCTTCATTTTTATGTTTTAGAAGACAGGATGTTTAAAAAGGGCATTAAAACAATTATTTACTTAATTTTGGAATATGTAATACATTTAATTGTTCAAACCCTGAAAGGTATAAAAAGTGATGCAGTCAGCCTGGGCAACATGGTGAAACCCTGTCTGTATAAAAAAAAAATTTAAGAATTATCCAAGTATGGTGGCATGCACCCGTGGTCCCAGCTACTCGAGAGGCTGAGGCTGGAGGATCACTTGAGTCCAGGATGTAGAGGCTGCGGTGAGCCATGAACATGCCACTTCAGTGTGGGAGTCTCCAAAAATAAAAGAGAAAGTACAGAGTGTTGTTTACTTCTGACCTGCAGCTGGCATATACAGAGATTACCTTTGCAGATATGTTTGTTTCCAGTTTACAGTATACTCTTTTTTTTTTTGAGACGGAGTTTCGCTCTTGTTACCTAGGCTGGAGTGCAATGGCGCGATCTCGGCTCACCGCAACCTCCGCCTCCTGGGCTCAGGCAATTCTCCTGCCTCAGCCTCCTGAGTAGCTGGAATTACAGGCATGTGCCACCATGCCCAGCTAATTTTTTTGTATTTTTAGTAGAGATGGGGTTTCACCATGTTGACCAGGATGGTCTCGATCTCTTGACCTTGTGATCCACCCGCCTCGGCCTCCCAAAGTGCTGGGATTACAGGCTTGAGCCACCGCGCCCGGCCTCAGTATACTCTTATGTCTAAACAAACAGGTGTGTTTACCCCATTTGTAAATTTTAAAAATCGCCACATCATATGCAGTAATATGTACCTTCCTTTGTTCATCTAATGATATCATTATATATCACAACATTAAAAGCTTTCTCTACCTTTTTATTTATTTTTATTTTATTTATTTATTTTGAGATGGAGACTCGCTTTGTCGCCGAGGCTGCAGTGCAGTGACGCCATCTCAGCTCACTGTAACTTCTGCCTCCCAGGCTGAAGTGATTCTCCTGCCTCAGCCTCTTGAGTAGCTGGGATTACAGACACCCGTCACCATTCCCAGCTAATTTTGGTATTTTCTGTAGAGATGGGGTTTCATCATGCTGGCCAGGCTGGTCTTGAACTCCTGACCTCATGATCCACCCACTTCAGCCTCCCAAAGTGCTGGGATTACAGGCATGAGCAACTGTACCTGCTGGTCTATCTTTTTATTTTTTGACAGCAGTAGTTTTTATTGTTTGGTTATATTGTAATTTATTTTATCAGTTTCATATAAATTTCCAATTCTTTACTGTTATAGTGGGTATCCTACAGAAATATGCACAGTTTTGTTCTATAATGCTCCTTTATAGCAAAAGAAAAATCTAAGCTCATTTTACATTCAGTTGTTGTGTCTCTTTGGTCTCTTCTAATCTGGAACGATTAGTGGATCTTTCTTTGTATTTCATGACACTGACTTATTTTGTAGAAAGCCCCTCCAGTTGGGTTTGTCTGATGTTTCCTTATGACTCAATTAAGGCTATGCATTTTTTGGCTAGAACATTGCAGAAGTGATTCTGTGTACATTATACCAGAGGGTGTGTAGTGTCAATAAGATCTGTTACTGGGTGTGTTAAATTTATGCATTTGGTTAAGGTGGTGTCTGCCAGATTTCTCCACTGAAAGTTACTATCTTTCTCTTTGTAATTAACTTGTGCTGAGATACTTTGAGAAATTGTAAGTATTGTTATTCCTCCAACTTGCCTACATTCTCGTCTATGATGATTCTTGCCTGATTCTTTTCTGAATCTGCTGGATGCCAAATGGAGATGTTTAATTCTGTCATTCCTTCCACTTTGATAGTTTAAAGGAAGAGGTTTTTCTTCTGTCTCACCATGGAGTGATGGATTCTTACTTTATTCAGTAGGTTATAATCCTATTATTTATTTTTTTGCAAAATTTGATTGCCAGATTTGGCCAGTAGGACCTCCCGTTCCAGCCAACTCTTGTGTTCTTTTAACATGTCCCCATCATTCTTTCAGTAGTACATCCTTTTAGGGCACAGTAAGATGTTGTAGGTTTGTTTTCTAATTTCACTGCCCTGGCCTTAAAATTAGCCATTTATTTTTCCAAGGAGCCCTGGGTTCTTTTAGTGGATAATATTTAGAAGTTCAGATCTGTGTTTCAGAATTTTTTTTTTTTTTTTTTTTTTAAGATGGGGTTCCACCATGTTGGCTAGGCTGGTCTTGAACTCTCGACCTCAGGTGATCCACCCACCTTGGCCTCCAAAGTGCTTGGATTACAGGCATGACCCACCATGCCTGGCCTGTGTTTCAGAATTATTAACCTGTCTCTGTGGAAAAGAAGCCTACTAATTAGAGTTGGGTATTTGTTCCTTTTGTCTTTAGCCAGAGGGTACTACTGAATGAGCTTGCTAATGAATGGATGTTCAAGTTATTTGGTTGGTCACCCACCCCTGCTCTCCCTTCAGTTTGGATACTTTATTTAGTTGAAATACGTTTTCTCTGTATTGAATTTAGGGTTCCTGTCATCCTTGTTGATTTTTTTTTTTTTTTTTTTTTTTTTTTGAGACGGAGTTTTTTTGCTCTTGTCACCCAGGCTGGAGTGCAATGGCGCGATCTCGGCTCACCGCAACCTCCGCCTCCTGGGTTCAGGCAGTTCTCCTGCCTCAGCCTCCTGAGTAGCTGGGATTACAGGCACGCGCCACCATGCCCAGCTAATTTTTTGTATTTTTAGTAGAGACGGGGTTTCACCATGTTGACCAGGTTGGTCTCGATCTCTCGACCTTGTGATCCACCCGCCTCGGCCTCCCAAAGTGCTGGGATTACAGGCTTGAGCCACCGCGCCTGGCCTTTTTTTTTCTTTTCTTTCTTTATTCTGTTTTTTTGGAGACGGTCTCCCTCTGTTGCTGAGGCCGTAGTGCAGTGGTACGATCTTGGCTCACTGCAACCTCTGTCTCCGGGTTCAAGTGATTCTCTAGCCTCAGCCTCCAGTCTTCAGTCTGGTTGGAATTACAGATACGCACCTCCACACCTGGCTATTTTTTGTATTTCTAGTAGAGACAAGGTTTCACCATGTTGTCGAGGCTGGCCTCAAACTCCTGACCTCAAGTGATGTACCTGCTTTGGCTTCCCAAAGTGCTGGGATTACAGGCGTGAGCCACCACGTCCAGCCAGTTGATTTAGTTTCATTTGTGTGTGTGCATGAAGTAGTGTGAGAAACATTCACATGGTCCCAAATTGTACATTACAGGAAAAGGTATGTTTTCTTGTTTTTTTTCTCCCCCAAGACAGAGTCTTGCTCTGTCACCCAGGATGGAGTTTAGTGGCTCAGTCTTGGCTCGCTGCAACCTTCAGGTCCCAACTTCAAGCAATTCTCCTGCCTGAGCCTCCTGAGTAGCTGGGATTACAGGCCCGCACCACCACGCCGGGCTTATTTTTGCATTTTTAGTAGAGACGGGGTTTTACCATGTTGGCCAGGCTGGTCTAGTCTCGAGCTCCTGACCTCATGATCTTCCTGCCTTGGCCTCCCAAAGTGCTGGGATTACAGGTGTAAGCCACTGCACTGGCCGAAACAGTACATTTTATTTTAACCTTATTCCCACTCATGCTCTGTAAGTAACCAATTTCATTAGTCTCTGGCTTATCTTGTGTTTCTTTTTGTTCGCAATGATCAGGTATATGTATATGTATATTCTCTTATGTATTTCTTAGACATAAAAACAGTATACTAGAGATATTCCTTTGCACTTTGCTTTTTTCACTTAATAATGTGTCCTGGAAAGTACTCCACATCTGTTCATAGAGACCTTTTCCATGCTGTGTGTGTGTGGGTGTTTTACTGTTGCATAGCACTGTCATGTAAATGTAACATATCGTCTGTTTTGGCACTTGGGTTGTTTCCAATATTTTGCAGTTATCACAGTGCTGTAAGGAATAACCTTATGCATGAGATTTTGCATTGTTGGAGGTATGTCTTACAGGTGAATCCTCAGGAATGAGATTGCTAGGTCTAAAGGTAGTTGTCTTTGTGGTTTTGTGAGGCTTACTTCTCCATAGCCTCACAAACGGAGTGTCTTACGCTTTCTCACTTTTGCTAATTTATAGATGAGAAATGGTATCTCATTGTAGTTTTAATTTGCGTATCTCTTATGAAACTACAGTCTTTTAAAAATTAAACATTTTTTTTTCCTTAGACGAAACTGCAAAGGAAATCCGAATTGCTTGGTTGGTATTGGTGAGCATATTTGGTTAGGAGAAATAGATGAAAATAGTTTTCATAACATCGATGATCCCAACTGTGAGAGGAGAAAAAAGGTAAACCATCATTTTTAAAGCGATTGCTATATGCTATTTTTTTTTGTCTTTGTTTTTGCTTTTGTTTTGGGCCTGTGATCAGAAAACACTACTGATTTCAGGTAACCTGTGCAACTTTAAGATAAATAGTAGAACTTAAGACTCTAAGCCACTTGAATTAGAACAGTTTTTAATGGTATGCTTTAAAACAGGCAGCTGCATAATTCAGTAAGCCTTTTAATAATACTTTTAGTTTGAATGCTGATTCTATGTTTGCTTTAACATTGCATGTTTTATTTCAAACTCTTTTAAAGTCTTTTTTTTCCTGCTCAGTATCACAGAATACTAAAGTCTTTTTAAAGGAGATGGTAATTCAAGGGAACAAACTGATAATGATGGCATTTTGCTTTCTAGGGTTTGTATTTTTTTTTTTTTTTTTTTGAGATGGAGTTTCAGTCTTGTTACCCAGGCTGGAGTGCAATGGCGCGATCTCGGCTCACCGCAACCTCCGCCTCCAGGGTTCAGGCAATTCTCCTGCCTCAGCCTCCTGAGTAGCTGGGATTACAGGCACGCGCCACCATGCCCAGCTAATTTTTTGTATTTTTAGTAGAGACGGGGTTTCACCATGTTGACCAGGATGGTCTCGATCTCTTGACCTCGTGATCCACCCGCCTCAGCCTCCCAGAGTGCTGGGATTACAGGCTTGAGCCACCGTGCCTGGCCTGGCTTTGTATTTTATATATAATGTTGCTTTTAAAAAATATACATGAAATTTTCTAAACATAAAGCTTAGCATTCACAAAATATTCTAGTTTGTTGTCTAGATAGTTTAATAAAAGAATAATTCTTTGTAAGGTCAGGAATTCTCAATCTTATCTTTGGAAAAAGTTGTAACCAATTCCCTCTACTGCCCCCAATCTTTCAAAAATCTGTATAGACTGTAAAGGAAGTTTTCTGCATAAGTTTTACTTTGTCATTCTACTGAATGCTGGCAGCTTAGAAATACAGCAGACGTAAAGCCTATATACGCTTGTTCAAAACCGATCTTTTCTAGAATCCACTGTTCTAATTTTAGATTTAAGTGGCTGGAGAAGACGATATGCTAGAGATGAGCAGTGATGCTGTCCGAAGTCTTTTTCACTCCTGTGGCCAACCCAAAATGGGGCTCTCATGAAAATTATGCCCCCCCCTCCAGCCAAGAGAAACTTAAGGTGGCTATACCATGTTGGTTGTGACAGTCTTACAAATTTTTAATTGAAAATTTAAGAATAATGCTTAGCAATTTGTTGTTTAAAGAAAAATGGATTTTATAATTGTAAATTTTGTATTTTTGTAGAACTCATTTGTCGGCCTGACTAACCTTGGAGCCACTTGTTACGTCAACACGTTTCTTCAAGTGTGGTTTCTCAACTTGGAGCTTCGGCAGGCACTCTACTTATGTCCAAGCACCTGTAGTGACTACAGGCTGGAAGACGACATCCAAAAAGAAAAAGGTGGGCGGAAAGGGGTCGGGGAGAGCTCTCTTCCTGAACATTTTTTTAAACAGCATCATCTTTTTTTTTTTTTTTTTTTTTTTGGTTTTTGAGTCTTGCTCTATTGCCCATGCTGGACTACAGTGACTCACTGCAACCTCCGCCTCCTGGGCTGAAGTGATTCTCCTGCCTCAGACCCTTGAGTACTTAGGATTACAGCTGCTGGCCACCACACCTGGCTAACATTCGTATTTTTAATAGAGTCAGGGTTTCACTGTGTTGGCCAGGGTAGTCTCGAACTCTTGACCTCAAGTGATCCACTTGCCTCAGCCTTCCAAAGTGCTGGGATTACAGGTGTGAGCCACTGTGTTAGGCCTAAACATTTTTATTTTTATTTTTATTTTTTGAGGTGGAATTTCACTCTTGTTGCCCAGGCTGGAGTGCAATGGTGCAGTCTTGGCTCACCGCAACGTCCGCCTCCCAGATTCAAGAGATTCTCCTGCAGGAGCCTCCCGAGTAGCTGGGATTATAGGCATGAGCCACCATGCCTGGCTAATTTTATATTTTAGTAGAGGTAGGATTTCTCCCTGTTGGTCAGGCTGGTCTTGAACTCCCTGGCCTCAGGTGATCCACCTGCCTCGGCCTCCCAGAGTTCTGGGATTACAGGCATGAGCCACCATGCCTGGCCTAAACTTATTTTTTTTATAGAGACGGTCTTGTTCTGTTGTCCAGGCTGGTCTTGAATTTCTGGCCTCAAGCGATCCTCCTGTCTTGGCTTCCAAAAGCGTTGGATTACAGGCATGACCCATGGTGCCAGTCTTTGAGTAGCTTTTACCAGTCCGCAAAGCCTTTGCACCCCAAGGAGTATATTTTATCTTTATTTTACAGATGATATATTGATTTGCCGAAAGCCACAATAGGTAGTAAGGACATAAATATTGAGAGTCTGATTAGAAGACAGAAGCTACGTAATAATTTGAACAGGAAAAGGTTTTTTTTGTTGTTGTTGTTTGTTTTTTGAGACACGGTCTCACATTTTCACCCAGCCTGGTGTGAACACAGCTCACTGCAGCCTTAACCTCCTAGGCTCAACCAATCCTCCTGCCACAGCCCCCCAAGTAGCTGGAACTACAGATGTGCACCACCACCTCTTGCTAATTTTTTTTTTTTTTTTAATTGCATTTTAGGTTTTGGGGTACATGTGATGAACATGCAGGATTGTTTTGCATAGGTACACACATGGCAGTGTGCTTTGCTGCCTTCCGTCCCCTCACCTGTATCTGTCATTTCTCCCCATGCTATCTCTTCCCACCTCCCCACCCCCCCTCCCCTCCCCCATTTCCCCCCAACGGACCCCAGTGTGTAGTGCTCCCCTCCCTGTGTCCATGTGTTCTCATTGTTCAACACCCGCCTATGAGCGAGAATATACGGTGTTTGATTTTCTGCTCTTGTGTCAGTTTGCTGAGAATGATGGTTTCCAGGTTCATCCATGTCCCTATAAAGGACGTGAACTCATCGTTTTTGATGGCTGCATAATATTCCATGGTGTATATGTACCACATTTTCCCTATCCAGTCTATCATCGTTGGGCATTTGGGTTGGTTCCAGGTCTTTGCTATTGTAAACAGTGCTGCAATGAACGTTCGTGTGCACGTGTCCTTGTAGTAGAATGATTTATAATCCTTTGGATATATACCCAGTAATGGGATTGCTGGGTCAAATGGGATTTCTATTTTTAGGTCCTTGAGGAATCACCACACTATCTTCCACAATGGTTGAATTAATTTACATTCCCACCAACAGTGTAAAAGTGTTCCTATTTCTCCACATCCTCTCCAGCATCTGTTGTTTCCCGATTTTTTAATGATCGCCATTCTAACTGGTGTGAGATGGTATCTCAATGTGGTTTTGATTTGCATTTCTCTGATGACCAGTGATCATGAGCATTTTTTCATATGTTTGTTGGCCTCCTGTATGTCTTCTTTTGTAAAGTATCTGTTCATATCCTTCGCCCATTTTTGAATGGGCTTGTTTGTTTTTTTCTTGTAGATCTGCTTTAGTTCTTGAGACAGGGTTTTACCATGTTTCCCAGACTGGTCTTGAATTCCTGAGTTAAATCAATCCGGCTTCCTTGGTCTCCCAGAGTGCTGAGATTATAGGCATGAGTCACAGCACCAGGTCTTGAATAGCTTTTATCTACCTGCAATGCTTTTGTAGCCTAAGGAGTAATATTTAATTTTTATTTTGCAGATGATATATTGACTTGCTGAAAGCCACAGTTGGTAGTAAGTAGAAATATTTAGAGTCCAATTAGAAGACAGAAGCTACACAATAATTTGAAAAGGGAAAGCTGAGAATTAACAACAGGGAATTAGAGAAATGAGGAATTGGTTAATAAGAGTTAAAGATTAAAGATGATTTTAAAGAATATAAGGACAGCAGATACAGGAAACAGCCTGTGTCCATGGGGCTGAAAGGGAACATCCAAGGAAGAATCTGCCATCCCCATGGCCCAGGCTTGAGATCCAGACCTCTTTGGACACTGCTGGGATACACTGGGTGGCTGAAAAAGTGCTGAGATCCCTCCCTGGGCATTCCTACTGGAAACTGTCCATGAGAAGGTGCTGGGCCCTGGAACCCCCTACAGAGTCCCCTTAAAGAGTGTCTAAGAGGCCATTCACAGGGTGGTCATTTGGAGAAAGTGCCTTTCTGGAGGCACTGTATGTACTGTGAAGCTATCAGAAGAGGTGCTGGGGAAGCTGCTGACCACTATTAGGTTCAGGAACCTGGAGCCCTGGAGGAAGCTGACCTGCAACAGGCTGGTGAGAGAGGCACAACCAAACCCTGCAGTGCCCTTCACTGATAAGCCTTACCTTCTGGATAACTGGCAAAGGAGAATTATTTACAGGGCCCATCTCTCATCACTGAGCAGGCAGAGAAGGGTGGATTTGGAGCTGAGAAGCAATAGGTTAATAACTTAAAGAAGATAAGACTTAGGTCTCTGGGGCTCTTGAGATCCATACTTTCTATTTCTACTCCCTGCACTAGCTCAATAAACTTGCGACTCTAAAATTCTAGGGTTATTCTTCACTTAAGTGTGAATTGCTGTGCTTGAGATTCCTGTTTTTTGTTCTGTTTGTGGCACTTTAGAATTAACTGGACTTCAGTAATCATGACTAGACACTGTAGTCATGATTGCTGTTGTTGCTTTGATACAGGTAGGCTCTTGCATTTGAGGAGTGTGTGTGGACGGTCCTGGCTGCCTCATGACTTCCACAAAACATGGTTGCTGATTCTGTTTCTTTTTTTTTTTTCCCTCCCAGACGGGGTCTTGCTCTGTCGCCCAGGTTGGAGTGTAGTGGTGCAGTCTCGGCTCACTGCCACCTCCACACCTCCCGGGTTCAAGCAATTCTGCCTCAGTCTCCCCAGTAGTTGGGATTATAGATACCCTCCACTACACCCAGCTAAATTTTGTATTACTATTATTTTTTTTAGCGGAGATGGGTTTCTTCATGTTGGCCAGGCTCTGGTTCAGATCTCAAGCAAGTGATCTGCCTTAATTGGCCTCCCAAAGTGCTGGGATTACAGGCATGAGCCACTGAGCTCAGTCTATTTCTAAGTTTTAAAATGATAATAAAGTATTAATATAGTTTGGATGTAAGGGTGTTTATGTTCTCACGTGAAGAGGAAGTACCATTTTTAAAAAAGAAAAGTAGCAACTTAAAAAAAAAGGCAAATTTATATTTTTCTTTCAATAGATTATGAGCCTCAAACAATTTGTGAGCACCTCCAGTACTTGTTTGCCTTGTTACAAAACAGTAATAGGCGATACATTGATCCATCAGGATTTGTTAAAGCCTTGGGCCTGGACACTGGGCAACAGCAGGTAAGAACTATATATATATTTTTTTTTTATTTTTTAATATTCAGAGGTACCTATGCATTCCTTAGAATGTTTATAAAGGGAGATTAAGTAGAATGCTTTTTAAAAATTAATTTCTTTCTATTTTGAATGAAAGCCTTTAATTACTGTCTAGTATGTTATACATTATACTTGATTCCATTTATGGAAATTCATATGTGGGCACAAACCGATTGAACACAGCAGTAGCCCCTGTTTGAAAATGCTGAGTTGAAAGTATAGGCAGTTTCTGGAATGTTGATTGTATTGCCATTTGTAATATAAGTTGAAAAGCAAGGTAATAATTTTTCTTTTCATTAACCTAAACTTGAAGGATGCTCAAGAATTTTCAAAGCTGTTTATGTCTCTATTGGAAGATACTTTGTCTAAACAAAAGAATCCAGATGTGCGGAACATTGTTCAACAGCAGTTCTGTGGAGAATATGCCTATGTAACTGTGTAAGTCTGTTTCGACTTTTTCATGGTACATTTCATTCTGAAACAGTTACTCATGTTAACTATTTTTCAGTGCAGTTCCTGGTTATAGCTTTAGTGGGTTATCATGGGACCTGAAATATTTATAGTAATACATTTCCATGCGAACATGTAAACAAGTGACTTGGTAATTGCATTTGAACCCATCCAGGTTTTAGGAACTGTGTCTGGGTAAGCTCTTGCCATCTGCCCTTGCTTTATTGGCTGTGTGGTGTGAGCTAAAGAGTAAGATTGGAGCTGGCTAGAATACTAAAAGTAAATGTAAAATGCCTCCTTAAAAGTTCCCATGAGTACAGTGTACAACATTTGGGTGATGGTTACATTAAAACGTAGACTTCACCACTGTATGTTATATTCATGTAACAAACCCATACTTGTACCTGTTAAATTTATATTAAGAAAATTTCCCAACGAATACTTAGCCTCACCAGTCACTTTCTGTTTTTATTTCATTTTTAGTATACATAGCAAGTAATTTATGTGAAAGAGAATTAGTTAAGATTATAAATGCCTTTTTCCATCTTTCTAGAATGTACTCCAATAGAACTTTCTTGCTTTCCCCACTCTGATCTGAATTTTGTCATTTTATTATAGTTGCAACCAGTGTGGCAGAGAATCTAAGCTTTTATCAAAATTTTATGAACTGGAGTTAAATATCCAAGGCCACAAACAGTTAACAGATTGTATCTCGGAATTTTTGAAGGTATTCAAATTTTGGTGTATATATTATATTGGTCCATTAACAGTTAAATGTTATTCTGAAGGATTTTTTGATTTAGTGGCTAGCGCTTTTATTGTGTCAGCTTTTTCTACATAAGAAGCGTCTGTGTTTGTGTAATGATCCAGAAGAAACTTTATGAAGTACCAGAGCAGGCTGTGTCTTAAAAATGATTTTGGTTATTTCAAGTTATTTTATATGTAAAGTTATGTATGTGTCAAAAGATATTATTCTGTGATTGTGGGTAGTGGGCTATTGAAAGAATGCTAAGCTCGGTTATCGTAAAGATAATTTACCTTTTTGCAATGAAAACTAGAATGTGTTAAATATAAAACTTTTTTACATTGACATGGTCTTTCTGCTTTCTGTATATTTAGATTCATGTGGAGATAATTAAGTGATTCCTTTCTGTTCTGAGTGGAAAACTGCTAAGAGGAACTCTTTGTTGTCAAGCAGGAATATATACGTAGCATAATAGACAAGCTTATTATCCAGCTAGCTGTCTTCAGATATTTTTGTGCTTTCTGACTTCCTCAGCTCATCCAGAGCATGCCTGAAATAGTCATTGAATTCATTTAGCTGAATATTTATTGAGTGCTTACTCTGTGTCAGACACTGTTTCAGCTGTTGGGGATTAGCCTTTATGGAGCCTATAAAGTAGTGGTGTGGACACCAGGGAGGGACAGTAAAATAAATAAAGTTAGAATATATAGTGGGTCAACTGTAGTAAGTGCTGTGGAGAAAAAGAAAGCAGGGAAGGTGGTACTGGGCAATGTGCTAGGGAGTAGGGTGGGGTGGGGGCAATTTGTAATAAAGTGGTTGAAAGCAAAGCGGTGAGCGTCGTAAGAATCAAGGAAAAGAGTGTCCTGAGCAGAGCTCCAGATGAGAATGTGCCTGGTGGATTAAGGAACGAGGTAGGGGGTTGAGGGGGTGTGGGTGGATGTGGCTGAAGTGAATAAGCAAAGGGAGAATGATAGAAGATGAAGTCAGTTAGAAGGTTTATCAGATAGGGCCTGGTGAACCTTGGTCAGAAGTTTGACTTTTACTCTGGGTGAGGTTGAGATGTCATCAGCGTCGTATGCATATGAGTGATGCAGTCTGTTTTAACAGGTTAACTGTGGGTGCTGTCTTGAGAATAGGCTGAGAATGGGTTAAGGGCAGAGAGGAGTGCATGGTGGCTTGGACCATGGGTTAACTGAAGAGGTGATAACCACTCTTTGGCTTTTAGATACATTTTCTAAGAGCAGTTAGAATTTACAGGCTGGGGCTGGTTGTGATGGCTTACATTTATAATCCCAGCGCTTTACAAGCTGAGACAGTAGGATCACTAGAGACCAGGAGTTCGAGACCAGTCTAGGTAACATAGTGATAGACCGTCTTTGCAAAAAATAAAAGAATGAACCAATCATGGTGTTGAACAGCTATGGTCCCAGCGATTCAGGAGGCTGAGGCGGGAAAATTGCCTGAGCTCAGGAGTTTGAGGCTATCATTAGCTATGATTGCACCACTGCACTCCAGCCTTGGTGACAGAGCAAGACCTCATCTGTTTTTTTTTTTTTTTTTTTTTTTTTTTTTGAGACGGAGTTTCGCTCTTGTTACCCAGGCTGGAGTGCAATGGCGCGATCTCGGCTCACCGCAACCTCCACCTCCTGGGCTCAGGCAATTCTCCTGCCTCAGCCTCCTGAGTAGCTGGGATTACAGGCACGCGCCACTATGCCCAGCTAGTTTTTTGTATTTTTAGTAGAGACGGGGTTTCACCATGTTGACCAGGATGGTCTCGATCTCTCAACCTCGTGATCCACCCGCCTCGGCCTCCCAAAGTGCTGAGATTACAGGCTTGAGCCACTGAGCCCGGCTGACCTCATCTGTTTTTAAAAAAAAGTTTTTAAAAAAAATTTGCAGAGTGGACATGGAGAGTAAGAGTCAAGGATTACTAAGGTTTTTGGCCTGATCAACTAAAAGAATGGAATTGCTCTGAGATGGGGAGGACCTGGGAGGAGCAGGGCTGGCTTTGAGCATGTTACATTTGAGTGGTATAGTTCCAGGGAGAAGTCGTGGCTGGATAAAATCACCAAGAGAGTGGGAGAGAGACAAGGACTGAGTCCTGGGACATTCAAATGTTAGGGATCAGGGAGGTAGGAGCAGCTGGCACCGGAGGCTGTGAAGGAATGCGTGAATTAGGAGGAAAGTGTGACTAGTATCCTGGGAGCCAAGTGAAAAGATGATGGTACCAGTATTGCATTACTTAAGTAATACTGTGCAAAAAGCTTGAGCTCAGGAGTTTGAGGCTTCGGTTAGCTGTGATTGGCTGCAGTTAGCTTTATAGAAATATAAAGGCAAATTTTATTTATTAATTATTATTTTTGAGACAGAGTCTCGCACGGTCATCTGGGCTGGAGTGTAATTGTGCAATCTCAGCTCACTGAAACCTTTTGCCTTCCAGGTTCAAGTGATTCTCCTGCCTCAGCCTCCTGAGTAGCTGGGATTATACGTACCTACCACTGTGCCCAGCTAATTTTTTTGTATTTTTAGTAGACACAGGGTTTCACCATGTTGGCCAGGCTGGGCTTGAACTTCAGACCTCGTGATTCGCCCACCTCAGCCTCTCAAAGGGCTGGGATTATGGGCGCGACCCACTGCACGTGGCCGAGGCAAATTTTAAAAAGAAACCACTATCAGCGAAAATATTTGATTTTTCTACACGTTTCTTTTTAGCTTTGTCTCATGAATGTGTTTCCGGAATTTTAACCAAATATGTATATAATTTTGTATTCTGGTGCCCATGTATAGTTTTTACTACCACCCCCCATTTTTTATCTATCTGTCTATCTGTCTGTGACTGACTGACTGACTGAGTCTTGCTCTGTCACCAGGCTGTAGTGCAATGATGTGATCTCTGGGATTACAGGCATGAGCCACCGGGCCTGGCCTTTTTTTCATTTTTTCAAGATGTAGTCTCACTCTTTGTACCAGGCTGGAGTGCAGAGGTGTAATCTAAGCTCACTGCAAGCTATGCCTCCCAGGTTCAAGTGATTCTCATGTCTCAGCCTCCCGACTAGCTGGGACCACAGGTGTACACCACCACGCCTGGCTAATTTTTGTATTTTTATTAGAGATGGGGTTTTACCATGGTGGCCAGGTCTTGAATTCCTGGCCTCAAGTGATCCGCCCACCTCAGCCTCCCAAAGTGCTGGGATTACAGGCATAAGCCATGCTGCCCAGCCTTTTTGCTGTTTTTAAATTAATGTGCGTCAAAATACATGTGACGTTTCTTTTTAAAACCTACATTAGAATTCCCAAGAACATGGGACTACCAAGGTAAATAACCTAAAACAAGCATTTTCAACATCATATGTTTGGGAAACAGGCACATCGGTCTTAAATATCATTGTATACAAATTGATAATATCACTGCTGAGCAGTTCCCATTACTTTTGTGTGTCCATTATTTATAGCAGCTATTGTTAAATAGCTTAAGTGAGAGTTATTAACTAAAATGAAAGAGTTTTATCACTTGTTTTAAGCCCATCTTCTTTTTAAAATTAATGTGTCTTATTCCTGATCAGGAAGAAAAATTAGAGGGAGACAATCGCTATTTTTGCGAGAACTGTCAAAGCAAACAGAATGCAACAAGAAAGATTCGACTTCTTAGCCTTCCTTGCACTCTCAACTTGCAGCTCATGCGTTTTGTCTTTGACAGGTAAATGTGTGCAAATAGTAGCTTTGTTGTTCATTATGTGCTAATATGTACAGACTTTACCATAGATAGATGAGATGATAAAATGATTATAATTTGAAACTCTAGATTTGAGAATGAACGTTATAGATGGAGCTTGCCATTTTGAAATGTCAATATTTCATGATTTTATCATAAAAATTTTAAAGGAGCCAGCCATATAGAGTTGATAACTAGACAGGTAAAAAATTCTTACATTTTTTATTCTCAAAAAGTAGAATAAAGAATTCTTGGGCAATAAGAATGAAACTCCGTCTCAGGGAAAAAGAAAAAGAAAAACTGCAAGGAACTGAATTACCCTGACCTTCTGTACTGATATTTTAAATAGAATAAATTTTGTAATCATTACACCCATGGACTGTACTTTTCATTTTATAATCAAAATCAAGGCAGTGTTAGCACATGTGCATGTCTTTTATAAAGCAGAATTTGTTTCTTTTGTGATTAAGTTGAAACTTGCGAAAAATAAGCTGTGTTTGGAATCAGCACTTTGAATTCACGTTTTTTTTTTTGAGATGGAGTCTTGCACTGTTGCCAGGGCTAGAGTGCAGTAGCGCAATTTCGACTCACTGCAACCTCTGTCTCCCAGGTTCAAGCGATTCTCCTGCCTCAACCTCTCGAGTAGCTAGGACTGCAGGCACTCGCCACTATGCCCAGCAAATGTTTTGTATTTTTAGACAAGATGGGGTTTCACTGTATTGGTCAGGCTGGTCTTGATCGCCTGACCTCATGATTCACCCGCCTTGGCCTCCCAAAGTGCTGGGATTACAGGCGTGAGCCACTGTGCCTGGCCTGAATTCACATTTTTTAACCTATTATTATTTGTCCATCTATAAACCAATATTCTGTTTACTTTTAATTGTACAGGTTTAGCCGGGCGCGGTGGCTCAAGCCTGTAATCCCAGCACTTTGGGAGGCTGAGGCGGGTGGATCACGAGGTCGAGAGATCGAGACCATCCTGGTCAACATGGTGAAACCCCGTCTCTACTAAAGATACAAAAAATTAGCTGGGCATGGTGGCACGTGCCTGTAATCCCAGCTACTCAGGAGGCTGAGGCAGGAGAATTGCCTGAGCCCAGGAGGCGGAGGTTGCGGTGAGCCGAGATCGCGCCATTGCACTCCAGCCTGGGTAACAAGAGCGAAACTCCATCTCAAAAAAAAAAAAAAAAAAAAAAAAAAAAAAAAATTGTACAGGTTTTAGAGGAAGATTGTTAAGTGAAAGCTAACTACTGTTCAGTTTACTGAAATAGTTAATAGAGCTTATATATTGTATTATGATTGCTTAAATATAAATAAAATCAGCTTTCCTCTTGATTAGGCAAACTGGACATAAGAAAAAACTGAATACCTACATTGGCTTCTCAGAAATTTTGGATATGGAGCCTTACGTGGAACATAAAGGTAATATTTTTACTGAGGAGTAAACATTATAATGCTCAGAGACTCTAACTTGTGACTGGCTTGTGATGAATACAGAATAGCAGTCAACTGCCAATTTTGTTTGCTAATGTCTCTCTGGGAACCTCTGTCTAGAAACAAAGACTTTTTTTTAGGAGAACCAAGATGTTAATTCCACTTTATGTGAGTAGGCACATAGCAAAGATTAGGTGGTTCATCTATACGTACAGAATTAAGGGTATAAAAATAATTGATTAAAAATGAAAAAGATATTTTACTGTTTCTGAACCCACATTTGCCACCTTAGTTTAAATACTATTATTTGTCATTCTTCAAAACTAACAGTCTCCAAGCTGCCTCCATTCACTTTTTAAAAACGTTGTCCCAAAAACTTTAGGTGGCATAATTCCTGTATTTATGCTTTTATTTTTCATATCTGTAACCACTGATATGTCCTAGGATGCTATCATTGTTTTAACAAGAAATAAGTACTGCTTATTTCTTTTGGTAGTCTTCCTACCAAACAGGATGAGTCTTGTTAGAGAAAGAAATGTTTTACTTCCCTTTAAGGTTGAATTACTTATTTATTAATTTATTTATTAATTTTTGAGACGGAGTCTTGCTCTGTTGTCCAGACTGGAGTGCAATGGCACGATCTCAGCTCACTGCGACCTCTGCCTCCTGGGTTCAAGTGATTCTCTTGCCTCAGCCTCCCTTGTACCTGGGATTACAGGTGCGCACCACCAGGCCTAGCTAATTTTTGCACTTTAAGGTTTTGCTGTGTTGGCCAGGCTTGTAAACTCCTGGCCCCCAGTAGTCCAGCTGCCTCAGCCTCCCAAAGTGCTGGGATTACAGGCATGAGTCACTGAGCCTGGCCTGAAATTTTTTATACAGAAATTATTTCGTAAACTCTGTCTCTTTCCACAAAAAGACAAAATTTCTAGAGGCAGCTTACAATGGAAGCAAGCTGTAAAAACCTTTAAAAGACATGGGAAAGTTGGGGAGGAATGTGCTAAATGAATATGTGAGCTTTCAAATGTATGATACTCTCAGTACTGTGCTTTAAAATTTGTACCTCCATGGAAGAAGGAAATTGTTACCAACTTCACTTTTGGACTTCATTGTTATATTGTTCTATTTTGTGGAAAAAATAAACTTAGCTCTAGTTCACTTTATGTAGTAGTTAGCTTCCTGCTTCCTTTGTTCAGGTAATGGAAATTGAGGAAAATCTAATGGGTTAGTGGCTTTCTAATCTAGAAACTTAGGAGATATGAAATGAATGAGCACTTTGTTTGACTCTACCAGATAGGTTTGAATTGTTAGTATTAATAGTTCTTAAGTTTATATATATTTGCCCCGTTTATACTATAAAGAAAATATTTATCAAAAGGATGTGTTAGATCAAAACCTGTAGAAATATTTAATTTTGGTATGTTGGTTTATAAAATATAGTAAACTCTTAATTGTAAGTTTTTATTTTTTATAATTTTTTTCAAGATGGGCTCTGGCTCTATTGCCCAGGCTGAATTGCAGTGATGCGATCACTGCTCACTACAGACTCACCTTCCTGTGCTCAAGCAATCCTCCCACCTCTCCTCCTGAGTAGCTAGAGCTACAAGCATATGCCACCATGCCCAGCTAATTTTAAAAAATTGTTTTAGAGTCAGAGTCTTGAACTCCTGGGCTTTAGTGATTCTCTCACCTCAGCCTCCCAAAAGTGCTGGGCTTACAGGCGTGAGCCACTGTACCCGTCTCATTTTTTTTTTTTTTTTTTTTTTTAAAGAGAGACGAGATTTCACCATGTTGGCCAGTCTGGTTTTGAACTCCTGACCTCGTGATCCGTCCGTCTTGGCCTCCCAAAGTGCTGGGATTACAGGCATGAGCCATCGAGCCGGATCCCGTCTCCTTAATTTTTAAGTAAATAAATAAATATTCTTATTTTAGAATTGTTTGCTAGGACTGGTAAAAGCAACCTAGTGGTTTATAGTTATAGGCTTGTCTTTTACATGCTGTCATAATGCTTGTTCTCCCTTATATAGGTAGAAGAATAAAAACAACTTTTGTTAATTTGCTTAGGGTTCTAGATAATTTGGGAAATTCAGAAAGCATAAAGAAAAAAATAAAAGCCACATGTATTTCTGTCATCCAGATAATTAATATTTATATTTTCCCATACTCACATAACCACTCAAAGCTGTACACACATACCATCATAGTTCAAAAGGTGGATCTAAAAGATGATCTATAGTTAAAAGGAGAATCCACCTGTTTCTTTAAACGGTGAGCCTGCAGATATGCAGAGTTCTTCAGAAGGAGAGGTCCTCATTTTCGAATATTAGCCCCTGACTCTGTAACTCAAGTCTTGCCATGTTTCTTGGGGATTTAAAAACTATCCTTTTTTGTTTTTGTTTTTGTTTTTGTTTTTGTTTTTGTTTTTGTTTGAGATAGAATTTCACTCTGTTGCCCAGGCTGGAATGCAGTGGCATAATCTCGGCTCACTGCAACTTCTACCTCCTGGGTTCAAGCAATTCTCCTGCCTCAGCCTCCCGAGTAGCTGGGATTCCAGATGCCTGCCACCATGCCTGGCTAATTTTTTGTATTTTCACACGACCTCATGTGATCTGCCTGCCTCGGCCTCCCAAAGTGCTAGAATTACAGACGTGAGCCACCGCACCCGGTCTAAAACTATCTTAATTCTGAATTATTTATTTATTTATTTATTTATTTTTGAGACAGAGTCATGGTCTGTTACCCAGGCTGGAGAGCAGTGGTGCGGTCTCTACCCACTGCAACCTCCGCCTCCTGGGTTCAAGCAAGTCTCCCTGCATCAGCCTCTCGAGTAGCTGCGTTTACAGGCACTCATCACCATACCCAGCTAATTTTTGTATTTTTAGTATAGACAAGGTTTCACCATATTGGCTAGGCTTGTCTTGAACTCCCAACCTCAGGTGATCTGCCCACCTCAGCCTCCCAAAGTGCTAGGATTACAGGCTTGAGCCACCACATCTAGCCTTAAAGTTGATTAGTTTAATGAATTGATAAGTATAAGTCCAGGTTCTCTCTAAGAATGGTAATGTGATGTTAGCATTTTTGTTTGTTTGTTTTTGAGATGGAGTTTCGCTCTTGTTACCCAGGCTGGAGTGCAATGGCGTGATCTCGGCTCACTGCAACCTCCGCCTCCTGGGTTCAGGCAATTCTCCTGCCTCAGCCTCCTGAGTAGCTGGGATTACAGGCACACACCACCATGCCCAGCTAATTTTTTGTAATTTTAGTAGAGACGGGGTTTCACCATGTTGACCAGGTTGATCTCGATCTCTTGACCTCGTGATCCACCCGCCTCGGCCTCCCAAAGTGCTGGGATTACAGGTTTGAGCCACCGTGCCCAGCCGATGTTAGCATTTTTAATGCAGTCTATTGGTAATAAATTTACAGCTACTGCTAATACCTGTGGATTATTGTCTTCATTAATGATACGGGGAATACTAGTAAGATTCCTTTGGATGCTCCTTCCAGCTGACCTAATAGGATCTTCTCTCCTTCAGTGATCTTGCCTTCCACCCTCGATCAGCCCTTACTCAGTGCCTTACCTTGCCTTATCCTTCCATAGTTGAAGTTTCGTGTATCTCAGTCTATTTTATTTTTTTATTTTTAAATTTTGAAATGGATCTTATTCCTAAAAGTTTAACATGCAAAAATGCATGGCTTGGTGAATTATGAATTATGTACACTCCCCAGATGAAGAAAGAAGAACATTTCTGGTTCCCCAGAAGCCTCTTTTTGTGCCCCTCCCAGCTGCACAGTTAAAACCTCCTTCTTCCTCTTAAGTGTAACCACTTAATCTGACTTTCATGTTGAACGCTTCTTTTATTGTTTTTCTTCTTTGGCATTTTACTGTATAAGCATGCATCCCTGTACATAGTTTACTCATATTTCTACTGGGATATTGCCAGCCACAGCGTAACCCATAATTAAATCTTCCTCTGCTGTCCCTGCTTTTTCACCTGGATTATTGAAGGTAGTGGGAGAAGAACCCCAGCCTCCAGATCCTGCTAAGTCCCTGATCGTTAACCATATCGTACTTTGTTCCTCCCAGACCTTGGAATGTCTTTAAATACTACTAACTTCTGCATTTTCAGCTGAGGTTTCATCTGTTGGACATGCTTGTGTTTCTGAGAACTAGGTCCCGCTGAGGTTGCTGGAACCCAGTGTACTGCAGACTTCCATACTCTGGAGGCTCATGCATTTCTGGAAAATCCTGGGCTTTGGTTCCCCTTCAGCTTTCTTTCCTTTTCTCTTCCCTTCCTCCTTTCTCATGTCTTGCAAAATGATGTGCTTTTGACCAATTAGGGTCAGTAGAGCCACAAATAGATATGTATCACCTTTCTCAGTTATTGATGTATTTAAAATGTTGTTGTCATCAATATTTCCTCATAAATTTATTAAAGGCATCCAGAATGTTAAGAAAATTTTTTTTTTTTTTTTTTTTTTTTGAGATGGAGTTTCACTCTTGTTACCCAGGCTGGAGTGCAATGGCGCGATCTCGGCTCACCGCAACCTCCGCCTCCTGGGTTCAGGCAATTCTCCTGCCTCAGCCTCCTGAGTAGCTGGGATTACAGGCACACGCCACCATGCCCAGCTAATTTTTTGTATTTTTAGTAGAGACGGGGTTTCACCATGTTGACCACAATGGTCTTGATCTCTTGACCTCGTGATCCACCCGCCTCGGCCTCCCAAAGTGCTGGGATTACAGGCTTGAGCCACCGCGCCCGGCCAAGAAAAAAATTTTTTTAACCACTTCAAACATTAAAAATCCAGTTTTTATAATCCATGACTGACACTGTTGGAATATTGTTCAGGCTGATCTGTCTGTCTGAGCTGGTTATTTTCATGTTGGTTTGTTTCTTCTGTTCCTGGTTGTTTTTGACTGCATGCTGGTTACTGCACAGAGAGAATTATTTATGGGGATTCCCCTAAGGCTGGGATATATGCCATCTCCTCTGCAA